CCACCCACCACTCGGCACCGCCATCATCGACACCTACCTGCACCACCTCGTGCTCTTCGGTGCTGCTTGTCCAGGAACGGTGCCCCGACGAGGTCAGCAGATACTACATCCCTGTACCAGCATCAGCATCTCCTCCTCGCCTCCTCCCTCTCTTCCTCCTCCTCTCCTCGTCCTCTCCGTGTCCCGCTCTCCCTTCTCCTCTCCTCTCCTCTCCTCTCCACGCTTCATCCGTTCTCTTGCTGTTGTTTCTCTCAAGGCTACCTTCCCGCCACCTCGCCGACGTCCATGGGCCCTCCAGCGGCTACTCTACTTGCTCTGCATGGCACCGAGTCACAATGAAGGAGGAGAGGAGCTGGAAGATAGAAGAGAATGTCGACGTGGGAAATAACGAGGAGGAGGAGGAGAAAGGATGGAGTGATGGTGATGATAGAGACGACGTAGGGGAGAAAACGAGAAGTTGGAGCGAATGAGAACGAGCAAAAGGAAGAGGGGCGGAGGAGGGAGGTGGAGACAGAGGCTGGTGCAGGCAGGTGACGATGATGGTGGTGACGGTGGTGGTGGCGGTGGTAATGATGATGATGAGGAAAGACGTTGGGAAGGAGTTCACCTGGTCCACTCCATTCCTCCCCAACTTATTCCTCGTCGGTGCCCCTGCACTCTTCACGGACGTTAGATGCGAAAAACCCTCGTTGCCCCTCAACCCACCCGCTTCACCTCCTCCACTTCAGCCTCCTCCTCTTTCTCCTCCTCCTCCTCCTCCTCCTCCTCCTCCTCCTCCTCCTCCTCCTCCTCCTCCTCCTCCTCCTCTTCCGCCTCCTCCACAGGAGGACTCCTCCTCCTTGTTCTCCTCCTCACCTGCTGCCTCCAGGGAGTTGAAGTTGCTGGATCTGCTCTACTGCGCCGTCAAGCTCTGCACAACTCCTGTCAGCTCCTCTCTTCTCCCACCGCCCTCCTCACCAGCAATCGATTTCATTGCCTCCTGGGACGGGCTGTTTGGGGAGCCGCTGCGAGGAGACTGATGCTCCTCGTTCTCCACGGATGGGGTTCCGACCTTGAGCCCTTTGCTCCTGCGACAGATGAACAAGTCGTCGCCCCCCTCCTCCCTCCTGCCCTTCCTCCCTTGTGCTCTTGCTCCTACCTGATGCCCTCGCTCCTCCTCCTCCTCTTCCTTCTCCTACTCTTGCCCCAAGTTCTTGACACCCTGCTCCTGCCTCCAATTCTACTTCTCGCTCTGTTTCCTCCCCTTTCCCTCCCTCCTGCCGCTCGCTCGCTCCTCCTGCTCCCGCTCCCGCTCCTGCTCCTGCTCCTGCTCCTGCTCCTGCTCCTGCTCCTGCTCCTGCCCCTGCTCCTGCTCCTGCTCCTGCTCCTGCTCCTGCTCCTGCTCCTCTCACCTCACTATGGCTTCAAACGCGAGGGCGCCGGGAGCATGTGCCGCGATCTCCAACGCAGTCTCTCCTGTTGGGGGACGTGACTCTCAGATCTTCCGATCAACAGGAGCTGCTCACCGTAATCGTCTCTGATGTCTGCATTCGCTGCGTGCGCCATGAGAACTTCGGCGCATCTGCCGATGATGTCAGGCTGGAGGAAGTATGGAAGGAGCAGGAGGAAGGGAGCGAGCGCGAGTAGGGAGGGGGAAGGGAGGAATGCGCGAGTGAGGAGGAGGAGGAGTTTGGGTTGGGGGTGGATGGGGAGAGAGGAGAGAGAAGAGGGAGAGAGAAGAGAGAGGAGAGAGAGGAGAGGAGTGGGGAGGAAGTAGGAGTGAGAGGGGGGGGTCCTGTGGGGCAGAGAACAGCAAGCAAAGGAAGGAAAGCAGGAAAAACGAAACGAGAGGCGAAAAAAAATAGAGGATGGCGAGGGAAAAGAATGAAGAGGAGGCGGAGGGAGTGAAGGGAGGAGGAGTTGCAGGAGCAAACGATTTCACCTTCCCAGGTCCAGTAGAGCAGCATGATGCAGAGCAGTTCGGCCCTTGTGGTCGCCAGCATCTTGTACGCAGGTCAGACCATTCGGCTCAACGAGGAGGGGGATGGGGGGGAGGGAAGAAGGAAAGGAGGGACGGGATAGCGCAAGGGAGCGGGGAGAGCTAGTGATGGGACGAGCAATGGAAGGGGAGACTGGAGAAAGGAGGAGGAGGGTAGTGAAAGTTCAGGTGATAGAATGAGAGGGGAGGAGAACTAAAGAGTCGAGAGTGAGGAGGAGAATGTGCGGGAGTGTTGAAAAAGAACGGAGAAGGGAGCAGAAACGAGGACGGAGGAGGAGATGAGATGAGATGAGATGAGATGAGAGGGCGGCGACGTACCTATGTTTGCTCCATTCTGGCACAGCAACTCAATCCCGATGACGAAGTCCGACTTGACGGCCTGAAGGTCCAGAAGAGCTCAGCTTTCCTGCTCGCACAGACTAGGACATCTGCTCTTACCTGCATGAGGCAGGTAGAAGCGTTCTCGTCCATGCTCGCTCCGTTCACATCCGCTCCCTGCAGCACGCGCGTCTCACAAACACCCCCCGAGAGAGACAAGAGGAGGAGACATGTGCGATGCTATCTAGAATCTGAAGGAGGAGTCAGCAAGGAAACAAGAAGGGTAGGGAGGAAAGGGACCTTGACAACGTCCTGCGACCGAACGGCGTTGTAGAGGAGCCCAGTAAGGTCCTGGATCATTCTGCAGGAGGGGATCAACGTGACGTCGTACTTGCAACTCGGTGACCTGTGCTGGTCCGAATGGCGGAAGCCGATGAAAGCTTTCTCGACGTACTTCATGGCTCGTGTCAGTCACCCGCAGCAGGACAGACCTGATGACCTTGCGCCGGATGAAAGCGTCGCGCTCCTCTCTGCGCGACAGGAGGCAGTGAGGGAGGGGAGGAGGCACGAAGGGGGCGGAAGCGTGCGAAAACAATGGGTGAGAATGAGGGAATAAGAGTTCGTCAGTGATGAATAATGTGAGAGCACGACAACGACGGACAGATGTGGAGAGAGGGAGGGAGGGAGGGAGGGAGGGAGCGGGAGGGAGGGAGCCACACAGCGGGGGCCAATACCTTGAGGCAGAGCTCACGATGGCCGCTTCTGTCATGTTGCAGAGGAAGACGGAGTTTGCCTGCCACACTCAGCTCAGCTCAGCTGGACTCCTGCAGGCTCCTTCGCCCACGTCCCCTCACCCTCTCGTTCCCCACAGCAGCCATCATGTCGAGCAAGGAGTCTTCCCATACGTCTAGCGTGAGCGATCGGACCCGCGAGATGTGAACGCCCAAGGCTCTGCCAGCGAAACTCATTCCCTCCCCCTCCCCCTCCGCTACTCGTTTTGCCCCTTGCTCGATGTCCATCGCCATCGCTACTGATTTCACGTTCTCGTCTTCTCTACCCCACATCGCTGCAGCTCGCACTATTGCTAACCGATCTTCTCTGTTCATCTCTTCTCCCTGCTCCTGCTCCTGCTCCTGCTCCTGCTCCTGCTCCTGCTCGTCCTCTCTTCCCGCTACTTCACTGACCTGTGGATGCCGCTGCATTGCATGCAGATCAGGATGCCCAGAGAGACAGACGCCCACTCGGGGTTTGCAGCCCCGCAGTCCGCACAGACCTGTTGAGACTGAGTGCTCGACAGGCAGGCAGGCAGGCAGGCAGGCAGGAGCAGGAGCAGGAGCAGCAGCAGGAGCAGCAACAACATGATCCACCTCGTTCCCTGGTGTCGCTTTCAGCCTTTCGACGCTCTGGTTCAGCACAGTCCCCGACCGAGGGACCTGCGTAACAAATTCAGGAGATGCCTTTCTACTTCTCTCTCCCAACCTGCTCGTCCAACAATTTTCCTGTGGCGTTCTGGATCACCGTCATCCACGCTGCCATCGCTGACTGGTCAAGCCATCCATCAGCAAGTCAGGCAGGCCAACAGCGCGGGGCGAGCTGGGAGGGCAGGGGGAGGTAGTCACGTGGGTCTCAGCTTGAAGTATTCGGGAGGTAGATGGAGAGATCAACTCGAAACAGAAGCGCTCAGAAACATGACGCGCTTCTTTGACAGTGCAGAGCAGAAGGTCAAAGACTGCAGTAGACGTCAATTCAACGGACTCCTTTCCATCTCTGGCTCGCGCGCACTACCATGTTTCGGTGGATCCCTCCAATTCTTGTATAGGAAAAGTTTCCCCGACGAGAGCACGGACCAATACCTAGCTTGCCTGCGTGACCCTGATGAGCCGTGTTGATCAGCAACATGTAGCTCAAGATGCCTGTGGTCATGACGGCTAGCACTTCTATGACGATTGTAGGAACATTTCCCGAGCCAACCGCGCATCTCGTACACTGACGCTAACTTCGAATTCCTGCAAACACCTCATAAAAACATGGAAATCTCAGCAGAGTGGAATGGGGGGACCAAGGATGACAAAAGATCGACAGAAGGGAGATGGAGAAGAGGGGACGGGATGACAGTGAGACGGGGAAGAGGGAGGAGAGGAGGAGTGGAAGATGGAAAGCGGAGAAGCGAGGAGGAGGGAAGGAGGAGAAAATCGTTGTCTTCTCAACATCTTCACCTATTCACATCTCTATTCACATCCCTCCCCGGTTGGTTCATGGCAGGCTTCAACGCCTCATGTTCCTCTATGTGCGAAGTCATCAACTGTAATCATTCTCAGCGCTCCCTGACGAATGTCTTGCGAGCACAAGACCTGCATCCTCATGTGCTGCCGGTCATGCAGCAGCTTCAGATCTTCGTCTGCATTGATGTCCATGACAAACGGGCCGTTCTCGTTCATCAGTGTGTGTCCCCTTTCCAGAAAGGTCACTTGCCCATTCACAACCTCGGAGAAGAAGCCGATAATGCTCTGATGCCTCTTAGAAGCAATGTCCGAGAGCTTGCTAAGGTATTCCACTCTCCTGAGGTCGTACAGGCCACGTCGCCTCATGCCTTCACGATCTGTTTCAAGTTGCAGGTTCATATCAGCGTCTTGGCGTAGTGACAGACTTTTGGACAGGGAGGTGTAGAAGTTGTCCGCAGCCTGATCCAGCTTGCTCCTCAAGTCCTTTGCCTTTTTGATCTCATTGCACAGCTCTTCAAGAGGCAACGTGTACTTCTGTGATATCTGGTTGCTCATCTCCATCATGAGTTGGAAGAACTCATGCAGACACGACGCAACATTCTGCAACGCCGGCACCTTTCCTGCCAGCTCCTCCGCCTTGCTCGCAAAGACTTTTCCGGCCTCCGAGTACTCGAGCCCGGCCTTTGCAAACGCATTCGCCTGCGTTATCAATGTTTTCAGCTCTGTCTTGATAACCTTTGCCTGGCCCTCTAGGTACGCGACTCGTTCATGGAAGATAGGGGTGTCCTCCACCTCTTCCAGCGTCGAGTAGAAAGAGGAGTGGCTCGGGCTAGTCATGCTGAGTCTCTAGATCTCCAACTATTCTGTCTCTTCTCCCTTGAAATCTCTGCTCTCTGCTACGGCTTGCCACCCTGGGAAACCGGACAAATCAGGCTGGGGCAACAATTGGTTCAGGGCGAGAAGAGAGCGGTTGTAGGAGAGAGAGGGTATGATGAGGACAACGTAGATGATACTTGCAGCAAGCAGAGCTCACCTTGAACTTCAGCCTGCATGGCGTCGCCTCTCCCGCCCTCCCTGATGCGCCTGCCGTCCCGCCTTGCGTTCCATTGCTGCCCTGGGCAAACGGACCCCAGAAAGGCTAGAAATTTAAAAAAAACATTTGAAAAAAGAATTTTAAAAAAACTTGAGGTCAAATAATTTACTCAACGCTTCCTGGTACTTAAGGGCTAGGGAATCCCGCAATGTTAGCAGCTGTTCTTCCGCAATGCGCACGTTGAAGGTGCTCCTGCTCCTTGCAGCTGCTCCCGAGGTGAGCGGGAAGGAGGACGGAGTGGTTCTAGGAGACATATGGGATGTTCCCTTCCTCTGTCTCCCCTCCCCCCTCCGCCGCATTCCCCTCCCTTCTCAACACTCGTTTGGTTGTTTTTTTTGGAATTTCCTGTCTACCCTGTGCTACGCTGTAGTTGACGGCATCCAGGTATCTGCATTCTCTTCTTCGCTCGCGGTCCCTCGTCGTGTGTTGACAAGCTCAATCTCCCCAAGCCTGCTACCGCTCAAATCGTATCGAGGAATACACAGTCGAAGTTTTGCTACAATGCAAGGTTGACCTTGTGGTGCAGTCGAGTATGCCTTGTTGTTGACACGCGGTTTAGCCTCCGCATCAAAGCGCTCCTCCTCAACAAGTAATTCAGATGATGGTCATTACCAAAACCTTCTCTTCATTTATGGATCGCTCATGGCCAAGGACGTCATGTATGGTCTTGTAAACCGCGTCCCTGTTTGCCAGCCAGGCGGGCTACTACGCTAGCATGAGAGGCCGACTGACGCTAACTCGCATACAGCTATTCTCTCCGGGTATCATCGTTACTGTTTGCCTTGCCGGCCTTATCCTGGCATCAAAGAACGTGAATCCGGCAGTGTCAAAGGTGAGTTGGAGAAGTATTCTTGCTTTCGATTGCGATGCTGACTGTGAATATCAGGGTTGATCGTTGCCGATCTCTCAGAGGAGGAGTGCCAGATTCTCGACTACTTTGAGGGAGACGAGTATGAAAAGCGTCAGCTGCGGGTGGGAGGAGGTTCAAGTCACACCTGAAGTCTGCTGAGGAGTGTGGCGATCAGGTTCAAGTGTCGAGGGAAGCCATTGAAGTCAGCAGCCCAGGGCTTCTCCCGTGATGGATTGATTTGGCCCTTGCATGTGCTGACTGCATTGTTAGCATGGAAACATATATGCTGAGTGAGGATACGGTCTTGGTGAATGCGTACGTGTACAAGGTGTGGGATACTTTCAAAGCTTGTGATGGGAATGGAGTTGAAGAGTTTGAGCTAGGGTGACGACGATGTCTATGGGACATGGCACATCGAAGATTTTCTGCGATCCAACATCCTGGATGACTACGTCTCTGATTCCAGGTATGAGCTCTCCTTCGCCCTTTCCCATAGCTGACCTGGCCCCTTCCTCGCCGCCGCAAGTATTGTGAGGGAGGATTTCCTAAGATCGAACTCTTAAGGGGAAAAGGAGTGAATCTGGATGTTCCTATCGTTCATAAAAAAGTCATATATCTTGGCACCGGGGAACTTCCGAAATCCACCAAAATTCTGTAAAAAACAAATCGTGAACTGACAGTGTCAGTGTTGCCATGCATGATGCTCTATTCTTACGCGGCGCCGGGCAGCGCCCACGTTGACTAGATGTCGTGGCAGTGGCACGGTGGGCTGCTCAGTACCCGGTGATCGGGCCCTGTCCGGTCTCTCAGTGGCAGTGGCCATGAGGCCCGCAAAAAGGAAGGTGGCACCTCCGGGAAAAAAGTGAAACTTTCATATCCAACTTAAATGGACAACCCGGGTATCGATCCCGGTGCCTCTCGCATGCTAAGCGAGCGCTCTACCATCTGAGCTAGTCGCCCGTATGTACGTGAGGGGGTCCTGACTGATTTTGTTGGAGGTCACGTGCTCACACCCGATATGACCGTGAAGAAAAAGGGAGGTGCAGGGGTCAAGGAGAGGACCTTTGCATTATTTGATAGGGGAAGACTTAGAAAATAAGAGGAGAGGGAGGGGGGTGGTCGATCGGAAAGCAACCGGGGGAACAAAGACCCATGTATTGCGTTGGTGAACTGGTGGGGTGGTGGGAGACACATGGGTAGTCCAGTTTCGTCAGTCACAAAGTAGGGTCATATTGACCTTAAAATAAACGAAAAGTGTGGGTAAGGGGTAGACGAAAAAATTACAACTGGGAGGTGGGGTAGACAATTTCGTTCTAATAAGTACGGTGGGTAGGCAGGGGGCTGGAAGTTATAAAGGTCGCGCTGGAGGAGAAATCCAACCCGAGGGCTATGCTGGTACCCCTGCTGCGAACAGCGGCGGTGGTAGCGGCAGTAGCTGGACAGGTTTCAGCCTTCTCGTCGCCGAAGGCAACGCTGTTCTCTTCTCTCTCTCCTTCCCTCGCCTCGACCAGGAAGATCTGCTCCCGGAGCTTTGTGAGCAGCGGATTCCGCACCCTTGGAAGGATCGGAGGTCTTGGTCTGGCCCTCGCTGCTCCCGTTCGCATGGCATCAGCATCGAGCTTGACCATGTCTGGACGTGTTCTTGACGGCATCACTGCCAAGGACATCGACGGCAACATGGTAGATCTTGGGGCGACTTACGGATCTGTCCCGGCAGTCCTTGTCGTCAACTTGGCCTCGAAATGAGGCTTGACTGACTCCAACTATCGCGAGCTTGTAGAGCTGTCTGGCAAGTACAGCAACGACGAGCTTGTGGTGTTGGGGTTTCCCTGCAACCAATTCGGAGGACAAGAACCTGGAACAGATGCTGAGGTGAAGGCATTTGCTCAAGGCAAATACGGCGCGAAGTTCCCACTTTTCTCGAAGATCGACGTGAACGGTCCCAACGCTCATCCCTTGTACCAGAAGTTGAAGAAGTCTGCTCAGAACAAGACTCTTCTTTCGCTGATGGGGGATGACATCAAGTGGAACTTTGGCAAGTTTCTGATCAGCAACGGTGTGGCGGTCAAGCGCTTCGAACCGACGAGCAACCCGCTCTCGATCGTAGGCGACATCGACTCTGCCATCCAGAAGGCCCAGATCATAGGGCGCTCAAAGTGATGATCAGGGTTGTCAAGGCCTGAGAGAGGACAGTGATGCATCTGATGAAGGCGGATTCTCCATCACAATCTTTGAAGGCGCTTCCTGAAAGTCGCGAGACAGGGTCGTGCCCGAGTAGTGTTCAAGCTCTTCCATTGCAGGAAGGAGGGGCGGAAGACATGATGTGTTGGAGGTCGTTGAAAAGGCGATTTTCCATCTTTTTCTGTATGTACACTAGTTCATCTTGCAAATAAAATCCATAACTATTATTACATCCCATTTTACGTGTCTGCAAACCAAGCAAGTGAGAAAGGACGAGGAATAGAATGACAGGACCCTTTCTCTTCTTGTGGCTCTCGTATCCGTCGAACACTTGCGAAGAGAATGTGTTGTACCTGTGCCAAAACAGTCAAGAGGATTCGATAATCGTCAAGCAAATACTCGTAGACTCGGTATGCTGTCTCCTTCGCCTCCGAGATGGCGGCTGCCACCCTCAGTTGCTGAAAACACTTTCAACTCGCGAGATAGCAACATCGTCAGGATTTTTCACATCCTCATCCATGGAGGTTCCTCCAGCCTTCTTCCGGTTGAGTGCCTGCAATCCAATCTTTCAGTCTGATCCTCCCCCATGCGCTCCCTCCTTACATGTTCCACTGCTTTCCTTTGCTTCTCTTGTGCTCGCTGCAGTCAAGGGGATGAAAACGGCGATTTGTCAGGCTGCAAAGCACAAACCTGCTGCTCCTGTTGCTGCAGAAAAGAAATGTCTTCCTGGGGATGTCCAATCAGGGAAAACGGGCAAGACAACTCATCCGTGTATACTGCAGAGAATTCGTCTGTGATGTTCTTGACTTTCCTGCAGTCTGTTTGTCAACATGGATGCATCCGTCCCTCAAGGCTCAAATCCACACCTCACCAGCCCCCCCGACGGAGGCCCGCCTCGCATCAGCTGCAACTGCATGTCAGTAGGGTTGCGACGAGGTTCTCCCCCACCAGCTGCAAATCCTCCGCTGGAATTGCCGGGACGTTGATCTCCTTCCACTTGTATTTCTTCTGCTTCACTTCATCGGCAGCTTCACCCCCGTCCTCCTCCTCTTGCTCGTCCTTATGGTCTGGAGCTCCTGGCAAGGGCAAGCAGTCAATGGTGGACGTAGTTTGCGAGGGATTCCTGCGACGACCTGATATGGTTGTGACCTTCATCCTTGAGACAGGTTGGCTGTTCACTTCTACCGCGTTCCTGAAGCTGTCTGGCAGGACCTCGTGGTCGTCGGCATTCAGCTTGCTCTCCGTGAAGTCCTGCGCAAAATGGGCCTAAGTGCGAACGGTTTGCTCGTTGCTGGCTCTCTCACTTTCCCTACGAACGACTTCAGGAAATTGTTGCCCTTCCATGATTCATCCATGTTCCCTGGCAGAGAAAGCAACGGATTCTGCTGACTCTGTCAACGGATCAGAAATCAGCTTGCACACTTGCAAACGAAATAACGTGAAAAGAGGTAGCGAGATATGTTGGGAAGAGCCGGAGTGAGGTAGAAGGCAAGGGAACAAACCTGTGTTGACGATTCGTTTCCCATTCTTGCTATCCGATAGATTTATGTGCCGAGAGCTTCGGATTAAGATCTAAGCAAATGACAGATTCAATTCATACACCAGCCATTCCGCAGTCCTCCTGCCTCACACGCTGCCTTCTGCCTACCTGCCTCTTTCCCTCCCTCCTTGCCTGTCTCCCTCCTTGCCTGCCTGCCTGCCTGCCTGCCTGCCTGCCTGTCTACCTGCCTGCATGAATGATCGCCCGGCTATCTCTGCATGACCCCTGTGCCTCTTCCCTCTGCACCGGCGGCATGGTGACCTCCAAACACCAGCCCGCCTCGTCACATGTGTCAAGGCAGAAGCCTGTCGGGCGGTAAATTAGCCCAGGTGTTAATAGACAATTTAGGCAGGATCCGGCTAATCCAGAGAACTGCCATGGCAGGAGAGGAGGGGGGGAGTGGAGCTAGAGGAAGAGGAGGATGAGGAGGAGGAAGAGGATGATGAAGAGGTGTTGGTGGACAAGGGGGAGGGAAACATACAGGTGGGCGCTAGGGAGAACATTGCGCTGGGGATGCCTTATGGATATTTACGATTCTAACTGATTCGTCCAGAGGTAGCCGGAATGAAATCATTCTGATTGACCTTGGGAAAAACCTAAGGGTACATGCCGCAAACAACATCGCGGCACTCGTTAAACTTCGGCATCTATGTACGCCATCTATGCCGCTCGCCGCATGGTCGCTGACAATGCCCCTCCTTGTCGCAGTCCGTTGCTCTGCTCCTCCTCTGCTGCTGCGGGCCATCGTTAGGATCGAGATGCTGTTTGGTCCCCGATTTTCTCAACGAGAATATTGCCCCCGGCCTGGTGCAGTGCCAGCAGGTACGACCGTCATCATCCTCCTCGCCACGAGCTCTTGACGTAAGTATCTCCTCCTTGGCCATGACAGGAGTGCGGCGCTTTCGTGCAGTACGCCACAACGCAATCGTGCATCCTCAATAGCACATGCGAACATGCCATGGCAGACTTCACCACCGCCATGAACCTCGCGGTGAAGGTGAGGAGCGCACCCTCTGCCAGCAAGCGCTTAACATGAACTGACACGTCAATTTGCAGAGGTTGTCCGTCAGCCAGGTTTGCACGTCAGATTTCAGAGTTTGTTTCCCTGGGGTCTCGTGTCTGGGAGGAGAGTGCAATCCTGGACCCAACACCATGTCAATCCCCTGCGAGCTAGCTTTGAGGAGGGCGGTAAGGGCCTGCCAGCGGCCGGGTAGCTGTCTTTCCTGACTGAGGGATCCAGGTTTGCGCTTATCACTTCCCGAGGTGCGTCAACGACTATCTGATCTTCAGCTACGAGGTGCGTCGCGATGTTGATCTCATCTCATAGCGTAATGACGATGACATGGAATCCTCCAGGTTTGTAGGGAGACGTGCGAGGACGTATCGATTTACTGCAACATCACCCTCGATGAAGTGACAGCCCCCTTGCGAATCCCCTGCAGGAGATGATCCTGTGTGCAGGTTGTAAACATCCCACGGTGCACCGACAGGAACTTTGGTTGTACAGGGGGGGCAGGCATGCTGGGGCTGACGAAATGGGCAACTTTGGCAATGTCCATGATTGGTTGGCGAATCACTCACTTGTATATGTAGCATTTTCTGTTGATGTATGTCGTATAGATGTAATGAAGGAATCAATCTCAGAAACCTGAACGAGGAACTTCGATCACGAGTCGAATGATATGCGTGATGCCGAATCGTTACCAGGCTGCTGGCCCGGACTGACTGACGGTGCAAATTTATGGACAACGGGAGAATTCCAGCGGATCGTGAAACTTCATTCAGTCAAACGGCATTTCCCACATCATGAGATCTTCGACGTGCGCACGTGCTTGGTGCCGAAGGTAAGAATGTCGGGGAGGTCTCTGTAGACACTCCCTCGGAACAGAAGGATATCGGAATCGTCTTCCGACATATAGTCTTGCTCACTCTCCGAGTGACCAGAGACGATCCCACGCCTGCTGATCTCGAACAACTTCCTCTTGCTCCTCTGCTCACTATCGCCCTTGATGTATTCCGGCGACCTTGTTCGATGCGGCGTTACCTTTGGACTATAAACAGCAATGAGGTCGATCGGAGCAAGAAACGAACGCGGAATACCTGCAGGATGAAGGGACATCGATGGCAACAGCTCCCTCTGATTTGGAAGAAGGATGGATGTCTTTGTATGTCTGGTGATCATCCTTCCGTTGTGCTCCTTGAGCGCATCCTAACAACCCGTTGCCTTTGTCGCTATGCTCCAAGTTTTCGACCTGTGAAGGCGCTGTCGAGTCTCCATGCGATCCTTGCTCTTTCTCTTTGTTCATCGCAAAACAATCACTCCAAGATGATTCTTAATCTGAAATAAAGATGTCAAAAAGATTCTGTCACAAACACCATAATGGCAGAGAGTAATCCCCTATCAAAAAAATCCTCGAAAGTAGCTACAAACCCCCTTTCCCTTTTTCGTAGTGTTTCATTGTTCAATATGAGATCTTTGGTACCCTCTCAAAACCACATGCTTCATCTTATGGATCCTACCCTGCATTTCCCGCCGAATCCCATAACAGAATTCGAAGCTCCTTTCGTTTTGATTCCAACCTCACCCCCGTCCCCCCAGGATCTATATCCCAGCCAAGCTCACTATCCCTGTCGGACTGGCTTCTTGTCCTTCTGGCCTCATATTCGAATCCTGCCCCTTATCTACTTCCTCCCCCATCGTTGCCTCCTCCCTCGACTCCTCTCGTTCCCGCCATGCCTATCGGGCGCATGAAAAGTAGCGAACTTGTCTGTCCCAATCTCACATCGCCTGAGAAACCACCCCACCACTTGCTTTGCTGACATGAACCCCCATTTTGTACCGGAAAATGGGGGGTGATAGGCAATCTTTACATTTATGGGTGGGTAGTTGCGCCCCTGTACGCTTTTGAAGAAAGTTCTTTTCGGTCACGTACCACAACCACGTACGACCTTCATCCATTACTTAACATACTAACCCGTACTAATTTTGTACCGAAGTTTTGTATCTGATACAAAAATGAGCTCCCTTATGGGGTGTTCTACCCCTACCCCCTCTGAATACCGGAGTTCATCATACTCTAGCACCACCCCTGTTGGTTTTTCGAGTGGCTTTACAAAAGGGGCAGTACGCTCCGAACTCCGCGGCAACTGAAGTGACTCACTGAGTCAGCAGTCGCCGGGCCGCCGCCCGGCCCGGCGGGGGCCGGGCCGGGCCTGGGCCTGAGCTCAGCATTGTCAGGATGAGGGGTCAATGAGTGGTTCTCGCTGTCTTTTCTCTTCTGTTTGCAAACTTCAACCGTGTGACTTTGAGTAAACATGCGTACGGTACGGTAGTCGGTTTGTCAGACTCAGCTCAGCCTGGCACGGTGGCTGGCGGCCCGGACCGGGCCGCCCCGGCCGGGCGGCGAAACTTGAAACTGAGGCTTGAAAAGCGGCAGCACGGCGGGCCGAGCTAGCTAGAAGTCAAGTCACGTCTGAGTGGACTCGGAAATTGACATTTCTGAGAGGCCGGTTGTGAGCTTGCGGCTGTAGAGACATGATGGACCGTCGGACTGATTCATTAGCAACAGTGTTTTTTTTCTTTCAGTTTATTTCCATCCCTCAGTCTCGAGCAGGTCGGTGAAGATTTTCAGCTCGATGGGATTGCCTGGGTCAGCCTGTCAGTCCTGAGGATATGGCTCGGAGAAAGGTACGGTAAGGAGTGCCATGATGATGATGATGATGATGACGATGATGATGATGATGATGATGATGATGATGATGATGATGATGATGATGATGATGATGATGATGATGATGATGATGATGATGATGATGATGATGATGATGATGATGATGATGAGGAGGAGGAGGAGGAGGAGGAGGAGGAGGAGGAGGAGGAGAAGGGGAGAGGAGGAGAAGGGGGGGAGGAAGAATGCAGGAATCATGAATGTCAACGATGGCATGATGGCGAGGACGATGACGAGAAAGATTCAAGAGGAACTTCGGAGGAGGAAGTAGTGGCAGAGGAGATGCTGATGGTATCGATGATGCTTATGATCAAGGAGGAGAAAAGGGGAGAAGAGGGAGGGGGAGGACGAGGTGGTGGTGGAGAACACCCACCAGGCCAGAACCGTGGAGGAATGTTCAACGGCTTGTACCTGGACCACTTCAGTGAGCACAGGCCCCCTCTCCTCTCTCTCTCCTACCAGTATGCTGTGCAAGGCTCGAACCGACCTTGCTGCTCCTTCCCGTCGGGATACACCTGAGAAGTGAGCGGGTCAGGATGGGGGGGAGAGAGCATTCTCCTGCAGGAGCAGCGACCAGCTTGCCCTCCCCATGGACCTGCGAGGTGACTGGTCATCCTCCCCTTTTACAGCTGGAGTCAGGCCTACCTTGCCGTTGACGAACTCCCCGATGAAGTATCGCCCATCCTGAAACAGACGCTTGAGCTCTGCCTGCATCTCCTTCGACCCTCCTCCCTCTGCACCTGCTTACCCCTTGCATCGTCCTACTAGTAGATTCCCTCACTTCTCGCTCCCCCCTCCCTTCCTGTTCCTTACTCACTCTCCCCTCCTCCTCCCTCCTCCCGTCCCCCACCCTTCCGCCCCCTCCTTTCCCTCCCTCCATTCTCCTCCGCACCTCCCACAGGAATGTTCCTTTCCCGTGCGCACGGCCGTCTTCAAACTCCCCCTGCGGTAGAAGGGATAAGACAGCGATGAGCAGCACTGCTTCCTACCTGGTAGATGTCCTTGTTGAGGACGTAAAGCGATTTCTTCCCCTTGCTCGTCAGCGATCCGCGATCGAACCAGCCGGAGTACCTGCGGCCAGACGTCAGAGCAGGGACTTCCTCTTCCTCCCTCTCCGCGCTCTCACTCCTTGCGGAATTTCTTGTCCGGAGGCCAATCGGCAGGAGCGGACCACACGAACTTCCCTTCCCCATGCGCACTGAACGTCCGGCAAGTCAAACCGACCGGAAGGTAGCACAGCAGGCTCCCACCTGCCTTGCACGACCACCCCCTCGTACGTGCTGGAGGAGGGGAACGAGATTGTGGCCTTCCCCTGGGGAAGGAGGGCGAGGGACATGAGATGACGTCATCGTTATCGCAGATCGAACTACCTCTGGATGCCCCATGTGGAACCTGCCCACGAACTGAATTCCGTTCCTGAATCGAACCTGCAGCAAAGGCTGTCACTAGGACGAGCCCCAGCCATGCGCTTCATTACAGTCGCGTGCCCGTGGTGGTATTTGGTCCCATCCTTGTCCTGGAGGTACTCACCGTCGTATCTTGAACCCGCAAGACAGTCACGAGTAGTTACGGGCATCGATCTCATACCTGTACAGGATGTTTCCAAGATCGTCCTTCTGAAACATGAGATCTGCATTGCCGTTAGTTGGCAGCACATAAAATTGAGAGAGCATGAAGGCCTAAAATGTCTAGAGGACCTTGCGGAACTTCTTCGCGGAAGCACCACATTGACTGCAGATTCACGTCAGCCAGCCACCACAGCTGCGGGACGGAGGAAGGTTCTCGATAGTAGCATCCTTACCAGATCTCTGCTCCTGTTCGACAGGATCTCGTACTTGGACAGGCTTTGCTCTGTGGGAGGGATAAAGACTGCAGGCAGGCAAGCTTCGCCGTAAGCAGAACACCGCCTCCTCCCGCCCTCCGCCCTCCGCTCTTCTCCTCCACTCACCGGGGTCGTCCGGGAATTCTTCCTTCAGGTCGCTCAGCTGCTGAACCTACGCAGGAGGATGACTGAGCTCCTGCCCTCATCTCCCACCCGCCATGGCAGCACCTGCTCGCTCAACTTCTGGATGACGGCTTCCTGCCTCTCTCCATCGTACCTTGACATCCAAGTCTGAACCTCGCTTCCTCTTCTCATCCTCCACACTCCAACCTGTCGTCGTGGTACGTGAAGGTGTTGAGCCCCTCCCCACCAACGGAGGAAGCTGCTGCCGTCAGCTGCCGCAATCGCAACTCACGAGGGTCTCACCCGCAGCCAGCATGCCTAGCTTCGGCGATTCCTCCTCGCCATTGGATGCTGAGGACCCTGGCCTGGACGAGACAGTGCCCTTCTTGGACAGCACAGAGCTCCTCCTCCTTCGGCGAGTAGCGTTCGCCCCTGCACCCTTCTCCTTCTCCGCATCCTCTTCATGAATTTCTCCCACGCTGAAGCCCATCGTGGGAGAGCAGGGGGTCAAGGGATCGTCAGCAAGGGTGCTTCATCGTTTCCTGCTCCGTCCTCGTGGCCTGATGCACCTGCAACATGACAGCAGCGCATGTCAGACCCGAAATTCGACAGGAGAAGGAGAAAGAAGGCAGGGAGGAGGAGAAAGACAACAAGGATGAGGGCAAAGACTATGACCAACAGGAGCAAGATAACGAGGAGGGGGTCGATGAAGGAGAGAAATAGGTGCTAGGAAGCATCGGTTTGCAAGACCAGTTGGCGGGATCAGAGTCATCCTTTGTCGAGGGAGAAGAAGGCAGAGAAGGGGGAGGTGGATGAGAAGTGGAGGCAAGTGAGGGAGTTTGAGCTAGAGCAGCAGCGGGATCATGATGAAGATCAGGAGCAGGAGCAGGAGCAGGTGCAGGTGCAGGTGCAGGAGCAGGAGCAGGAGCAGGAGCAGGAGCAGGTGCATGTGCAGGTGCAGGATCAACAAGATTGTCAGCGTGAAGACTCTGACGGCAGGGTCAGGGTCAGGGTCAGGGTCAGGGTCAGGAGCAGGGTCAGGGTCAGGAGCAGGGTCAGGGTCAGGGTCAGGGTCAGGGTCAGGAGCAGGAGCAGGAGCAGGAATCTAGGACTAGGCAGTTGAATGTTTTATACCTGTTATGAAATAATTGTATAATTATATCATTTATGGGGTTGGTTATACAAAACAACTCATAATCTCATAATCTTAAGCGCCCGATCGCTCCGACCATCGCAAGGACCTGGTTTGGGAGGAGAAACAAGGAGAGAGGAAGGGAGAGGAAGGGAGAGGAAGGGAGAGGAAGGGAGATAAGCTGCAACACGAGCATCGAAGTATGACATACATAACATGCTGTCTTCCCCTCGGTTTGGTGTAGCACAGATATGATCTGGATCAGAACAACGAGGATACAAGACCCGCTAAATTGCTTGGTTTCTCCTCCTCGCACAGGGGATGAGATCTAGCACTTGTGAGCCGTTCGTCTGAGTACAGGGGATTGCCGAAAACATGGCGAGTGGCCTGAGGCTGGCGAGCATTCTTGTGTTCATTTCGCTCTGCACATGTGGAGAAGGAGCAGAAGACGAGCTCAAGTGCAGGATCGAGTTCCTGGAGCCTTCCATGGGGCAGGTAGTGCAGAATGAGGACGCAGTCTTGGAGTACCAGCTCGTGGACTGTGTCGGATTCTCGGAAGAGGAGAGTGTTGTGGTTGAGCTGGATGGACGAGAGGTGGCGCGGTTCGCTGCTCCTGCCATGAGCGTCTCGTTGCGATCCATACTTGCCGGGCACCACAGCCTCTTCCTCCAGATCCAGCCCTGCAGCGCCTGCGCGTTCAGCGTGAACGGGTCGGTCTTCTTCACGACCAGGATCGCGTCAAGTGCGATGATGGATCGCCAAGTGCTCGCTATGGTAGAGGAGCGGACCTTGCGGCAGTATTTTCTGCTGTCCTCGCAACGACCCTCGCATGCCGTCCAGCTGACGGCGGAGCCTCGGAACGGGTCGCCGCATCATGTTCGGACTTCGGAATCGATGGGCCTTGAGAGCATGCTGGCGCTCGGGAGACTTGTGTTTGCGATGGGGGACCTCTCAGAGGCGATCGTCTTGCTGCACTCAGCTACCTCGAGGATATTGAACGGGTCCCAGTCGCGGGAAGGAGAGGAGTTGTTGGAGACTTGCATACACTACCATCAAGCTCTTGTCATGATAATGTATGCTGAGAAGCAAGGGAGGCCAGTGACAGTCGAAGAGGCATGCCGGCATCACTTGTCGATCACCTGGCCGCTTCCTCGAGGGAGCGCCAAACACCTTGAGGAGGAGCGCGTCGGGTTCGAGGACATGGCATACGGAGTGGTCTCAGGGCAGAAGCTGTACCATACGAGGGCGAGGGCAGTCGCCGAGACCTGGTGAGTGGAGGTGAACGAATCAAGTTGCGTGTGAGCCGGCGAGCAGGATGGGGATGGGGATTGATGGCCACATCTACGGAGAGGTAGAGGAGCAGATGAAGATTTCAAGGTGCAGAGACAAGACAAGCTGTGAAGAATCGCTCTTCACCATCCTCAGGGTAAGGATGCCGGCACTGAAAAATCGTTCGCCAGGATGAGATCTCCAACAGGTTCCGATCCCTGAGGGCAGCAACAAAGAATGGCTAGAGGCTCTAACGCTCGCAGACAACTTCTTCTCCTCCGTCCCCAAGGTGCGAGGACTGGTTACCTCCCAAGTGCCCGCTCATGTTTACTTCCTGCTACCCTTGCGAGCAGTTCGTCCTTGCGCTGGTGGATCTCCTTGTGAAGTATCCCCACAAGAAATGGTTCTACCTTGCCGGCTGCGACACGTTCATCCTCCCCAGAAACGTTGGGAAGGCTGTGCAGGTCAGCGACCTTTCCTCCTTCCCCAACCCCCTACAGTCCAACACCACTATCCCCTTCACCGCATCCTCTTCTTCTTCCTCGTCAGCTGCCACCTCCTCCCCCTTCCTCTTCGCCTTCCCCTCTTCAGGTTCTCCTCACGCTACCCAGGGGTTGGATGAGAACGAGCTGGTCTTCGTCGGTGGTCATGCCGGGATGCATTTCGGCACTTTGTTTCTGAGCGGTTCCAAATCGTTTTCTGTGCCCCTTGCTCTCCCTCAGCTCACCCATCCTCCTCCCTATCTTCTCCCTCGTGTTTCTTTCATTCTCACATCCTCGGATCTCAACAGGAGGGAGCGGACTCATCTTCTCAAGGGCCCTGGCCCACAAGATCGCTCAAGATGCCTCCTTCCTCCTCCGAAGTTGGATGGAGAAGGACGGCCCTCGCTTCCGCTGCACCCCCTGCGCCGACGTCGCCTTCGTGCATTTCTCCCGCATCCTTCAGGGCAAGATGGTCGAGCGGCCATGTTTCTATGCATTCTGGCCCCAGTATTACATCAGCGAGGAGGACGGAGAAGTCGTGTGGCCTTGGGATGTAATCCTCCTCGTCTTCGCCTCTCCTCCTCCTTGACCCGGTGCCAGCAGGAGGCTGAGGAGGCGACTTCGGACGAGCGCGTAAGAGCGTTCTTGTCCTCTTGCAGTCGCATCTCAGTCAAACGAGGAGGGCTGGGCGTAGCAGCGAGTAAGTGGTGAGTGACCAGTGCAGACCAAATGCATCTGGTTTCCCTCCTCTTCCCATCCCCCCTCGCCTCCTCCTCCTCCTCTTCCTCCTCCTCTTCCTCGTCATCATGCCTACCACCACCAACACCTCCTCCTGGTCCATCCCCGTTGACCATCATCACGGCAGGTGGGGGAGGACCAACGAAAAGTGCGAGGAACCTGTTGCCTTTCACTATCTACAACCTAGAGCCATGCGCATCTTGCACGCGCACTGGAATCGTTAACGATGGGCAGGAGAAACCCGTCAGGGGGAGATCGCCAGCCAGCAGCAGCCCCTCCGCTCGCTAGCGATCCAGATTCCTCCTCCTCCCCTTCCATCCCGTGGCAGTGGGAGCTTGAGAGGTGGTCAAATAAAGCTCTTTCAAGACTCGAGGACGTCTGCTGAGGATCATCAGAGCCCGTCTCATTCGGCAACCTTCACTCACACAAGCGCTATCCTTCCGATGACCCGCTTCTGGTCTGCCGCGTCCCACGCATGCGAAGTCGAGCTCGAGTTCGTCCGCGCTGTGCTCCATCCCCTCGCAGAGATCACCTGCTCATGCATGACGCCTGGTCTCACTGTCCTCGGCGTCTCTGGGTGAGGACGCTGGCTGGACTTCTTGTCAGAGCACGGACTCAAAAAGGCGCAGGTACCTCCCCCGCGTCGTCAGAGGAATCCCATGCCGAATCCCTGCAACAATGAGGATCAAGACGAGCTCTCAGATCGTTGCTGGTCAGCATCCGACCATTTCTAGGAGTCCTCAGCCAGATTTCGTCCCTGTTGAACCTGCGCAGCAAGAACCAGGGGTCAAGAGCCCCTCCATGTAAACATCGGGGAGCCCGACGGGTCACCTTGGAGCTAGCGGGATGTTGAAATCCTCCTCTCTTCGCAGCAGCTTCAACCGCAATGGAGGTACCTTCACCTTTGTGCATCCTGGTCTTCCTACCACTCCCGCTCCGCCTTCTCCCGCTCCCGTTCCTGCTCCAGCTTGCATTTCAGATGGGCAAGAGCGGCTATCGTTAAATCTCAGTCACTGAGGCCATAGGCCGGGCGGCGGCCCGCGGCGGGCTGCGCTCCGACCGTCCGGGCCGAGTACCCGCCGGGGCCCGACTCGGCGAGTCCGCCCGGTCGGGACTCCCGGCGGCCCGGGCCGCGCGGTGCCCGGGCCCGGCCCGGCCCGGTCATCGGTGCCAGCCCCCAACTTGACTTGGCCCCGGACTCAAGAACTGATCGTCAAGTGTGCAGCCTCGTCACTGACAGAGTCCGACGGTCATTCCCAGTGGACTCCTGAATGAATGACATGATACTACTCGCCGACAGGCCCGAGGACTATGGCATGATAGTCTGGTGATGAGACAGGGTATTATTTTGATAGTTCAATGCTGTCATGATGCTGTCGGAAACACTGGAGATCATGTCGTGAAGGGGCTGAGACTCTTACGTAAGCAATTGAAATACTTCGATAAGTATTCCGTTCCACAATTTGTCAGTATGCTCTCAAAGGAGTCAACCATAACAAAATCAATCAAGTTCAGGTACTTCGCTTTCATGTTTCATTACTCGTGAAAAGGCTGGAGGTCAAACAATTATGTATATCTGGGATGGAATCAATAATTAGAGTGCAAGATGGCTGTTGGATTCGAGAAGACTGCGAGTTTTTCACGAGCGGACACCTCAAGTCGCGAAAGAGCAATAAGCAGTGATAGCAACACCTACGGCGATCAAGGCCACCACTGGAATGAACCAAACCATCTGTGGGAACTCCGTCGATGGATGTTCGTTGCCTCCCTCCATGCCATTGCTTCCTATCAGCTTTTTCCTGTGAAGAAGAACAGAAGATGTCACAAACCTGAGAACACTACAGAACAAACGATCATTGCTCACCAGAAACCGGCTCTTGCATCGTCATCGTCATCGTCGTCATCATCACTGCCATCATCCTTCTTCTCTGCTTTCGGTGCTGTTGGAGCTTCTGCAGCGGAGGTCGAGTTCGCAGACTCTGCCGTTCCTGTGCTGTTCTGTTGAAGCTCCGAGGTACCCATGGCAATGTGGTTGAGATGATGAAGCTTGATATCCTGCATCTTAGCATGGTCTGTCCTCTTGAACGCGAGCCTCAGCTCTGCCTGTGACTTTGCCGTCTTCGCTCCTCCTGTTGAGGCTGCCGCTGCCATCGCACATAGCAGTAGCAGCGCTCCTCCAACTATCGCAACTGCCCGCATTGCCCGAATCTGTCCCGAAATAGGTCTTCACCCACCCCAGTCAAAGGCGAACCCAATGATCCAGTACCCCACCAAATCCTTTCCACCACCCCACAATACCCTGAAAAGATACAAATAGAGCAGTACCCCACCCCCTTCTTGACACTCGTCTTTATCCTTTAATCGACAAAAGGACTCCCGAAGGAGTCCTGGACCAGCATGACAGGGGTCGTTGATAGGTTTCAATCACCCATCCAATGGGGCTGTATGAGGGTCTTAAAAAAGAAAAAAAATTCTTCCCGCCTCCGACGGAAAGTTTGTGGCACTGCTCGTTTCATCTTCCCGCCATTACAGAGTTTGCGGTCCGACAATAACATGGTTTCGCCAGACTAACATACTATAACATGCCGAGGAAGAGAAAACGAATTACAGATGATTCAGACAACGGTCAAGAAATAAGTTATTCAAAACCATTCACGAGAGTCGTCAAATGTGGGTTATACTCGAGACTCAAGGTAGAGAACAGATCGATTTTAGACGTGATCGACAGATGGGTATTACATATCAGTCAGATCACATCAAGAGGCAGTATGATATTCAACTGTTTTCTGATATGGGGCAGGGATACAGGGAATTTACGATATGTAGTAGATGAAATCAAGAGAGCCAAATCGACCTTTTTCTGGAATGTTTTTACACTTGGAATGGAACAACATAGCCGTACAGATAACAAGTATCCAACTCTACAACGTTTCTGGTCAGAGAAAAGACATCTTTTCGTTGATTTATGTAGAATTCGAGGAGACTCGCAAGCTATTGTATTCGCTGCAAATCAATATGGAACGAATTTCTACCAAGACCTGAAAGCAAATTTTACAAACCGATTGGAAAAGTTCATTGCCGAATTCTGCAAAGGAGAGTTACATATTAACCATCAGCAAGAAATCGAAGACGTGAAGAATGTATTGTTTCAAAGGAAAGATTACGAGTTGAAGACAGAAGTGTTTAACAGGAATAATTCACAGCAGATAGGAACCTTCATCGACCATATGAAACAACTAATTGGATTATCGGGGGACGAAGATCTTTTTAGTTTCAAATATGACAAATTTGATCATAGGTTGCAGAAAAATCTGTTTGAGATAATCGAGACACACATGTTCATGTTGAAGTTCTTCGAAGATCGTGGTCTCTCGAAAAAAACATTCAAGGCAGCACCAATGTCGAAATTCGGCAGAAAACATCTAACAATCGATAATGATGTGATGTATTACATTTTGAAAGAAGCGAACAGTTTGAAACCGGGAGAAGATAAAAAATCGTTCATGAGAATAGATCAAACTTTGGAGAACTCTAGGAATTTCAGAAGGATTTTCGACTGTTCGAATCTGTTCAGAGATCAGAGAGAGGAGATTACAAGTATCACGACAGACGGTGTATCGGTTTGTTTTCGATTCACGCTGATTGTCAAAACAATCGATGGACTCGAACAGGAACCTTCATTGCGCACTACCAAATGGCTTGCCGATAGAAAAAGGGCTGAACGGAAATCGGCGAAGAAGATATCAATTTCATACAAAGTATTACATGAAAATTCAGAATACCAAAGAGAGATCGAAGAATGTAAAAATTGCCCAAGGGTAATTGCGATCGACCCTGGGAGGAGCGTCATTATATCGGCCGTCGAACAATTCAGAGATGATCAACAAATAATCAGAAAAAGATTTCAGTTTTCGAGAAAACAATATTATCACGAGTCACATCTGAATCGCAATAAAAAGAAAAGAAAGACGTGGGATCAAGATATTCAATCGACATTGCACTATCTCAAGGGGTTCTCGAGTAAGTCTGGCGGCAGTCTATCAAGATTCGAAGACTATCTTCTTGCAGTTACAAGGCATTGGGAGGAGTTAACTTCGCATTATTCAAAGCGAAAATACGCCAGGATGAAATTCGACATCTACATTTCGAAACGAAAGTCAGTCGACAGGTTTATCCGTACAATGAAAGGAAAGGGAGAAATAGAACCTGTTATCGCATATGGAAATGCAAGGTTCCCGTCTACAGGACGTCGAGGAGAAAGGCCTGTACCGGTCAGGTGGATAAGAAGAAGATTCGAGGATCACTACAGAGTCGTAGATGTTGACGAATACCGTACTACCAAGTGCTGTAACGATTGTGGTTCTGAGCTCGATGTGCTTCGACGGATTGAAAATACAGGGAAAGAACCAGACGAGACCTGTAGGTTGAAAACAAGGAAAAGTGAAGTACGAGGATTGAAATTTTGCAGATCATCGAGGTAATGTCAAGTTTTGTATACTCCTGTAATTCACCTTTTCATCTAACTGTTATCGTGACAGCTGTAAAGGAAAGCCGATCAAATCCAGGGACTTGAATGCTGCACTGAATATACTCACTTGTTTCAATGTGTTTCCTGAAAGACCGAATCACCTACGTCGCCCCTGAGGTGAATTCAATGATTGTTGTCGCCCCCTCCCTACCCAGACTGCGTCCCTCGGGACTCGATGCCTAATTCCCTGCCTGCCTGCCTGCCCGGTGCCTGCCTCCATTATGATCCGATGTTTACGACATGTGATCATTGAAGTGACTGACTGGCATCATTTGGTAGGATTCATGTAAGGCTCCAACAACATCCGAAGACAATTTGGCAAAAAAAACAACTGCCGTTGTATGACGGAGAGTCGCGGCTCTCAATCATACGACGGCAGTTCTGTGCGAAAACTTAGTTCGTCGTTCAGAAGGGTATTCACATATTCCGTCACATCATGAGGAGAGTACCCGTGGTAGATAGATTCGTGGCGTTTATCTATTATTGCTTGTCAGATAACCTGCTGCCATCCCAATTTCTCTGAGGCGAATCTGTCGAAATAAAGGGGGTAGGTGGGGTTATTTCTCCTACAGGGGTAGGTACTAAAGGAATGGATGGGGTAGTACAGAAAGTATTGAGATGCTATTCATATGGGTAGGGGTAAGTACCCCTATCATCATTTCTCTATGGTTGTTGCTATAAAGGATTTTCCCATAGGGGTAGGGTCATTCTTTCACCACCCCAGCTGAGAACCAGGGTCAGAGCGCCTAGTAGAGGGGGTAGGGGTGAGGGTGCGGGGGTGACGGCAGGGATTCATCAGGGATGGACTACGAGTTCATGGGCGGTAAGCGGTCGGACTATGGCGCCATCGAGCAGGTGAGGAGGAGGAAGGAGGAGGGACACGGAATCATATCATGGACATGCAAAGATCTGAGCCGCGCCAGAGGGAAGAAAGTTTCTTGTCGGCATGCACAGACCTGTCACGACCCTGACCACGTTGATGATGTGTCACTCGACCTGCCGTGATCTTGACAAGTTACTTGACGTAGTAACATGCTTGATGGTTGTTTCTTGCCTGTCCTGTATGTGATCTGATGCTGGGAAAGCTTTGAGCTCCCCCAACGGTGATGTGAGATGAGCTTGCCACGTGGTAGTGATGACGAGCCGTTGCGAAAAGCTCCATGGCGGTGATCCCTCCCTGTGTGAGCGAGAAGGACGGCCTCTCCTCGCCTCTGGAAAAAGCGAACTTGATATGTCTGCCACCTTCATGTTCTGCTATCGCATCATGATGTCCACTTGCCCTTCTGAATGTTTCGGAAATAGATGGAAGGGCAAAGGAGCGCTGGGCAGCGGAGCGCCGGAAGCTCGTCAAAGAGAAAAAGTGGAGGGCGAGGAAGCTCGACTGAACACGGCTTTCTAGCCGAGATGGGACTTGGATGCGGTCCCAACACCTGGAAGACGACGACGGTGTGCGTCTGCTTCTTCATAGGGATCACGATCATGGTGACCGCCTGGATGGACACTTGCGTCCCTTTCTGCGGAGCCAAGGAGAAGAAGTCCGGGCTGTGGAAGGATGCATGGAAGAACCAGACCATTCCGAGCGACATGCAGAGCTCCATGGACACGTCGGTCGACCCTTGCGACGACTTCTACAAGTTTGCATGCGGGGGGTTCATCGACAACACTGGGATCAAGCCCGATCAGGCTGGCAACGATGATGGAGGGAGGGCTGCTGGTGACGTGGTTGTCCAGGTGGAGTGGGCGAAGGCATGGGATGGAGTTGAGAGCAGGATCAGCAAGGAGCTCAGGTCTGCTGTTGAGAAGGATACGGGCAAGGTGATTCCCCCCTCCTCCTCTTCCTCCTCCTCTTCCTCCTCCTCCTCATCTTGACATTGCCATCAGGCTGGCACGTTTTTCCGCGCCTGCATGGATACCAAGACGATCGAGTCCCTTGGAGCAACTCCTCTCAAGGTGGTCTCGACATCTTGACTCGTTCTGGTTGCTAACGGTCGATCCAGCCATACCTGGACATGATTGACGGCATCAACACACATGATGATCTTGTTGCCGCCATTGCAAAGCTCCAGGTTATACTGCAAGTTGTCTTCCTCCTTTGGAAATCTCTGAGCCTCTTGCAGAAAATCAGTGTGGCTGTGTACTTCGATTGGCAGGTTGGTCATCTCAAAATCTAACAATGGAATGGGAATTGGAATGATAATGATGATGACGATGACGATGATAACTATGCCTCTGAAGATGCTGAAGATATTTTTCTTCATAGGTGATGGCGGATCCAACGGATCCAACGAGATACGTTTTTGCCATCCTTGACTCTGGCCTCACTCTCCCCGATGTGAAATGATCTTGTTGTGTAACGGGCCAATCTGAATCCGCAAGCCAGGCAAAGATGTACACTGATTCATCTCCAGAGTTTGAAAAGATCAGAAGGCAGTACAAGAAAGTGAGAGAGGAGAAGGTTTCCCATCTGTGATCTAACTCAAAAATGCTGCAGGTTGTAGAGAGAGTTTTGCAGCTTACGGGCTTGAATCCAGTGCAGGCAGAACAATCATGGGCCCCTTCTTTCAGTCTCTGAAATGAACTTGGCAGGCGAAGGCTGCCGCCGCTGATGCCTTGTCCGTGGAGACAGCAATAGCAAAGGTAAGAGGAAGGGTGCAGATATTGTACCTTCATCGCTCTTCTCCTACTTCTCATCCCTCCTCTAATCGCTTCTCTGCTCCTCAATGTTCCCCACTCTCCTATTGATGCTCTTGCAGCACACTCTTCCGGACGATCTTCTCCGAACGGCTAAAGCTAAACATTACAACATGGCCGACCTGAACAAACTCGGTGCTTTCCTTGTCGCCCAACCCGATTGCTGGTCCTGACCTATTTGCCAGCTCCCAAGCTTGGCTTTCCTACCATCATCAAGTTGATGGGAGGGCCCCACGTCGGCAAGACAACAGACAACATACTGTGCAAGGATTCCCAATTCCTCGAGGTAAACGCTACTGTACCGCTTCAGCCTTGTCACGCTGCCGCCGACAGGGTCTCTCGTCGATCATGTCGAGCCCAACCTTCTGGGCCCACAAGGCGTACCTTCGTTTCAAGGTCTCACCCTGTGGAGGCAGGAGGGAGAGGCTCTGATGGCGCCCGCCAGGTTGCCTACGGACTCGGTTCCGACCTCTCGTCGGAGTTTCTCAAGCAAGGACTTGAGGTCTTCACTGACGACGACCGGACGGCCCAGGCTGACTTGCTGAGTCTGACGCAGGTCGGGCACATTCTGACCGGAGTTATGCACGAGACGCCAAGGTGGCGCAAGTGCTACGACAGTACAAAGAGCAACCTTCCAGATGAGGTGAGGGGCCAAGGCTGAAGGATGAAACATCCCCCACCTCGCCCTCCTCGCCCCTCCGCCTTCTCGTTGTGACTTACCTTTCCGCCTGAAACACCTGCGATTCCTCTTTGTTGCCTTTCCTTGTCGTGATTCTTCTTCTCCCCCCCCTCCCTCCCTCCCTCCCTCCCTCCCTCCCTCCCTCCCTCCCTCCCTCCCTCATTCATTTCCTCCCTGTTGACCTCCTGCTCTCTGACTTGAAGATTCAGGTCGCCAAGATATTCGTCAAGAAATACCTTCCCAAGCAGAACATCGATGTGGCGGAGGAGATGCTGCAGAGCATTCGATTGCAATTCAAGAAGGTAGGGAGAAGAGAAGCACTGAGGAGCAGGAGCAGGACGAGAGAGGCAAGGGAAAGAACAGCAAGGGACCTTGGAGGAGGGACGGATTGAACAGGGAGAGGGAGGGATGGAGGGAGGAAGGGATGGAGGGAAGGGAAGGGAAGGGAAGGGAAGGGAGAGACAGAGAGACAGAAGGAGGAGGAGGAGAGGAGGAGGTGTATTGAAGAGGTTTGCAGGTCATGGCAAATGAAGATTGGATGGAGCCTGCGACCAGAAAGCTGGCGATCCAGAAGCTCGACAACATGTTCATCCAGGTGATACACCCTCCTCCTTTCCGCCCCTCCTTCCTCTCGTTTCATCCTCCTCATCCCCTCCTCCCTCCTCCCTCCTCCCTCCTCCCTCCTCCCTCCTCCCTCCTTCCTATTTCTTGTTCTCCTCCTACCCCCCACCTCCTCCCTCTTCCTCTCTCCTTCTCTCCTCCTCTCGTTGCTCCTCATTTCGTCCCGTTGTGTCTGATTTGCCTTGGGCTCTATCAGGTGGGGCACGGCAAGTGGCAGGACTATGACTTCGCCGTCACCGAACATTCTTTCCTCAACAACACCAACAATGCGAAGAGATGGATTATTCAAAGTCAGTCCTTCTCTACATCATCTTGCTCCTGCTCCTGCTCCTGCTTCTGCTCCTCTTCCTGCTCCTGCTCCCATTCATTCTGATCCCTTCCCTTCTCTTCCTGCTGCTGCTACTTTTGCTGTTGTTCGTAATCCTCGTCATTCATCCTGCTCTGTCTGCTCCTCGCCCTTCTCGTCCACTCTCATCCTTCTCTTCCTCTCTCACTACCTCTGCAGGAGCCATCGAGCGTCTCGCCAAGCCTGTAGACCGAGAGCGATGGGGCAGCATGGACCCGACGCAGGTCGACGGCTCCTACGCGCGCCAGGTGAAGCAGCTAGTGACCGATAAGAGGAGGGGAGGCAGCTCGCGATCAGCTGGAGAGGGAGCATGGTGGAGGCGGAAGAGGACGAGGGGAGGGAGGGGAGAGGCGGGGAGGAGGGAGAGAGGAGAAGGAGGAGGAGCTGAGAAGCGTTCAGGTGAACGGCGTGTTTGTTCCCGGAGATCTGCTGCAGTTGGATGCACTGCTACGTCAACGAGAGGCTACTCTCCTGTATAGGTCGAGCGTGGGCTTCATCATCGGTCCTCTGCAGGAAGCGAACCTTGTACAAAAGTGCCTTGGCCACTTATGGATCTGTTAGACCACCTGAGGGGAGTAAAGAGAAGGTCACATGGGAGAATTCTGTTCCTCTGGTTCGGCTATGGGACACAGTGGGGA